CAACTGGGCCAATAACATGATAAATGGAGAAAAGATTGAAGTTGTCAAAGATTTCATTTTGCTTAAATCCACAATCAACACTCACGGAAGCAGCAGTCAAGAAATCAAACAACATACTGCTTTAGGCAATTCTGCTGCACAAGACCCCTTTAAGGTGTTCAAGAGCAAAGATATCAGTTTGAGGACTAAGATGTACCTGACTCAAGCCTTGGTATTTTCAATAGCCTCATATGTATGTGAAGGTTGGACAGTGAATAACATAGACCATAGAAGAATTCATTCATTTGAGTTATGGTGTTGGAGAAGAATACTGAGTTCCATGGACTGCCAGAAGAGCAAATAGATCTGTGTTGGTAGAAGTACAGCCAGAATGCTCCTTAGAAGTCAGGATATTGAGACTTCTCTCTCATAGTCATACATATCAGGAAGGACCAGTCCCTGGGGAAGGATGTTATGCTTTGTAAAGTGAAGGGTCAGCAAAAATGAGGAAGACCCCAAGGAGATGGATTGACACAGTGACAGCAGCAATGGGTTTAAGTATAACAACAATGTGAGGATGGCCCAGGGTTGTGTTTCAGTTTGCTATGTATAGAGTCGCAATGACTAGTAGTCTACTCCTCAGCACCTAACAATAATAACAAAAAATTATAAAGCAGTTTAAATTTATAATTTCATTTCTTCCTCATTGGTCCTACTTGGGAAAGTAGGTGCTGTTGAAATCTACTTTACAGATGAGAAAATGAAGCTCAGAGAAATCAAGTGCTAAGCAACCAGCTAGTAAAGCGACGGACACAGGTCTGGAACTCAAGTCTTAGCTCCAAAGTGTGGGCTCCTCCACACCCTCTTCCGGCAACTATAAGTTTATTAAAGGACGCGTGGAAGTGGGAAGTAGAAAATGGTTGTTTGCGTATTTGTTTTACCAAACGCCTAATAGTAAGAGGAAGCTCTAGTCACTTGGAGAGATCCTTACTCGCGGTGACCAGCAGATGGCGAAGGCTGCCCGCGGCCGGGAGAAGAGGCGCACCGCAGCCGGGTACAGAACGGCTGCAGAACTGGGGCCAAGAGTGAGGCGCAGGGTTCTCTTCTGAGCCTATAGCGCCGGGAATGTTGGGTAGAGCCTAGAGTTACGATTTGCAGTGCAAGCCCTGTTACTTCTATAAAGACGTATAGAAGGGAGTTGGTGTTTTTAAAGTAGGCGATGGAGTTCTGGTGGTACTCAGAGAGGAGGCTCCAGGCTAATTTGAAACCCAAGAGCTGCTCCTTGGGAGAAATTATGTTTTCATCATGATTTACAGTCCTACAAGGTGACTATGAGTTGGAGTGGACTGGATGCCCTATAGTCCAAAATTAATAGTAACCATTGCATGCAGGCGGGCATGGATGCAGGCAGATGTGGGTACACTTTGGAGTGGGGTGGGGTGGAGTGGGCATCGCTGATAACCTGCTTCACAGCTGGAGAATCTAATTCCTTTCCCTGGCGTCCTATGAGAGACGCAGAAGATTCTTAAGAGGAAGGAGAAAGGCTGCCATCCAGTCGATTGCGACTCATAGCGACCCTTTAAAGCGTTTCCAAGGAATGGCTGGTAGATTTGAACTGTCGACCTTGAGGATAGCAGTCCAGTGCTTAAATCATAATGAGAAATTCAAAGGCCATCCATCTCCTAATTCTCACCGTCTTAAAATGTGTTATTATTTTTTAAGACCGTGACAAATTTTTAAAAGGCTGCCAGCAGATCGCTCGATTTGGTCGCGGTGTGGGAGATCCAGCCGTTGCCGGGCTTCAGCGCTAGAGAACCCTTGCAAACCCCACACCTGTGCGCAGGGCCCTGGCTTTTGCAAGCCGTAGGAAGCACTCCACCCCACCCCCACCCCCAATGTAGTTGCCAATGGACATATTCTGCGGGTTCGAGTCTGCACGCGGTGGACCTGCCCAAGCTCTCATATTCAAAAGCCTGGATGTAAGAGATGGGGGTTGTGTGGTAGGCATTTCATAGAGAGACTCTATTGGGCTCTCCAACAAATGTTCGCATGGTTGCCTTTGGAAAAGAGCCTCCAGGGTGATGCCGAGATCTCTAAGGGAAAGTGCCAAACTTTGGATTTGGCGTGCAGAGGGGTGGGACATTACGGTGGGAACGGGAAAGGGAAGAGACAGAAGTAGCCTTGTTGTTGATGTTATGTGCCGTGGAGTCGTTTCCGACTCATAGCGACCCTGTACAGGGTTTCCGAGGCTGTAAATCTTTAAGGGAGCAGAAAGCCTCATCTTTCTCCCGCGGAACAGCTGGTAGTTTCCAACAGCTGACCTTGCGACTCGTTGCCCAATTCGTAACCACTACGCTTAGAAGTAGCCTAGACAAGTAAAAAAGGGTATTATAAATGTTCGTCCCCTTGGCGACTCAATGTGCATTAAAATCAAGGGTCACAGGCGGGGGTGGTGGTGGTGGTGGTGGTGTTATTCGGTGGCGTCAATGACACCCTGTAGAGATTTTAAAAATTATTTACTCCACCCCCACTTCAAGTGCCCCGTTATGGTTGCTAAAGGAGGAAGCGATTGCAGAGAGCCAAGACATGGTAATGCTGCCTTTATCCTAGTTTAAAGCTAATCAAAGGCGGCTGAAAAGGGAGGAAAGCTGGGACAAAAGCACATTTGGAGATTCGAAACTCCTCACTGCGGGGATGGATGATGCATTTCTTCTAACAGATGAAGGGTTTAAATAGACTCTAAAACCAGGTCCGCTTTCACAGGCTAAAAGTTTGGCGCAGAGCCGGCAGCCTCCCCTCCTCCCCAAATTCTTTTCTGTGTCTTCCCGCCTTTACCAATTTCCTTCCAGAAGAGAGCGGCACCCACCCCCATCCCCAAGACAACAACCGAGCGCCCTAGCAATACTAGGCTTCCACACGGAGGATACCTAAGACCTCGGGGAGCCAATCATGCCAGGATCGGTTAGGGGGCAATGAAGGTCCTACTCCAAAGTTCTCCCCAAAGCAGAAAAGATTTTCCTGGGGCCAAGTGTGGGACAGCTCTCCACTCTTTTTTAAAATTGGAAAGAGCAACCCTAAATACTTGACAATGAAAAGATGCGTTTGGAAAACGCCAAATCTTTCCAACTCTGAATCAGAATTCTTTTTACACTACTTTTCCCTCATTCGTTTTGGTTTCTTTTATTAGTATTCTTCATTTGTGTAAAAAAAGTGAACCCTGGAGGACCGCTAGCACCTGGCACAAACTGGGGGACACTGACCGAGAATGTAAACAAACGCGGCGCCAAGCCCTTGATCTTTATTTAAATAGAGGCTTGTTTATCGGTGTCATCCTAGGAGGATTAATTAGATACATCTCTTCACAATTTGGTGTCTGACACTCCATCTTAGGAATGCCTTATCACAAGGTGTTAATTGAGGCCACTCAGCCACTTACATTTCTATTAAACACTGTGAGGGACTTTTCACAAGTACCAGGTTCATTTTACTGTACGGTGTAAAAATATACAGGACTCGAAATAGATTGGGGCTGGTCTACATTAACTGACGGTGATTAGCATTTTCAGACCTTCCTAAGGGCAGAATAAACACTGTTTCCAAATTCCTCCACACATCCCCAATAAGCTCCCAATTTTATGGGGGCAGGAGAGTTGTGGTGTGTAGCCCAGGGTTGGGGAGCTGAGTCCCTTTCTCAAGTCTGAGTTCGTCCACCACAAATATACATTGAAAGCCAAATTCTCAAGGATATCGCCTCCCAGCTCCTCGATAAAATTCAGAGTGGCTTTGCCAAAAGCATTTTGAGCCGAAGTTGCAGAGCTTGAATTCAAGCCCCCAAGGTCATGGGCGGCACTGGAAGAAGTCCAGTTCCGGAAGGGTGGCGGAGATAGGATACTGGGGGGAAACCTCAGGTACAAGCCCTAGTAGGAGGCCTTACTTGCGTGCGGAAAGGGAGGAGGTCCGGGCCCATAGCTAGCCTCCCAGCAGCTAATCCTCTTAGCGGCTGCATTTCCGCGCCGCGCAGTCAGCCGAATGACACTCCAGACCAGACCTTTACCCTGGGAGGGGCCGGAGGGGACTGGAAAGGTTTGCAAACCCGACCAGAGACTGTCTGCTGATAAGCCTGGTGGGCTGTCTGCGGGGGAGGGGGCAAAGGAGCCTCTGCCAAACTCCTTGGTTTGACTCTCAGGCTGGCCACCAGCTCAGCCAAGGAATGGGCGGTCTTCGCCCTCTTGGGGAATGTGAGCCAAATAAACGGATCTGAACGCCAGGCGAAAGGCTTCCCATCCATTGTTTACAAAGCTGCAGCGCGCCGGAAGACTGGGGATCCTCTTTGGTCAGAGCAGCGCCTGCGACCGCGCCCCAGCGTCCCGAGCTGTAAGAGCTGGGTCCCCGGCGGCAGCTACCGAGGCTGGCAGTCCGTGGCGGGCCGGTGCACCCTGTGGCTGGGTGCCGAAGAAAGCCTCAGGTGGTAGGTAGCAGAAACCCAGCCGTGGGCGGCTCGAGCGCCCGGCTGCGCCTGTGACACCCGAAACTCGCGGGCGTTCAAAAAGCCTTAGCAGTTCCCTGGGAGCCCTTGTAAGCCCAGAAATGGGTGGCCCTAAGAAGGCAGAGAGAGAGAGAGAGAAAAAAAAAAGCCCAGATAACTGTGAAATTGGAGGAGGGCCAACGCTGGGACCAGGCACCAAGGCCTGACTGCGAAGGTTTTCAGACTAGAATTAGGCCTAGTGTGGGCAATCTTGCATCCTGGCAGTGACCTCCACCCTCACCTTCACCCCTCATGGTCCAAACTTCCCACTGGGATGAGGAAATTGTTCCATTCACCTTCAAGGTAAAACAAAACAAAACAACAACAAAACCCCACAAGCATCCGCATTCCCAACCCCTCCTGACCAGAGCCCAGTTAGTCTAGAGCATGAATGATCAAGGAGAGTAGCTGCAGATGGTGGAAGAGGCAAAAATCAGATTAAAAACAAACGAAACAAAGATGAAAAAAACCTGTACAGAAGACAGAGCTATGCTCTTTCCCATATTGAACCACATTTATTAAAAATGACTAATACTGTACATAAAAATCCAAGATCACTAAAAAGCTTATAGGAGCTGTGACATCAGGTTTTGAACTTCTTCACATTGCCAAGATGATGAGGCATTGGAAGAGGCCAAGGAAGAGGATGAAATAAGAGTTTTCTTTAAACCTGTTTCAAGTTAGTACAGGGTAGCTGAATACATTCTTGACTACCTAAGAAGTAAACAGAATATTCCCCCAAATATCCTGGGGCTGATGAGAGAAACTATCTTCTTGCCCCTGCAGGTGTTGTCAGTTGATTGCGAATTCGTTACAGAGCCAAAGCACCAATTTTACATTATCTGGGATACCTATGTAGACTATTTGTACAATGTATTCCACTTTATTCTACAGCGTACCTAAACACACACAACTGTACACTTTTAAATTCTCTCTTTTTGGCCATTCCCTTCCTTACCCTCTCTCCTGAGTGCTCTGGTCCACCCCAACACACAGCAAGAGGCCTGCTCCTCTCAGTGAGGCAATCCTGAGCTAGGCAAACATGGCTTGTTCTGCAAGCCTGGGAGGAATCAAAGTCAGGTTCAACCAGTATTTTCATAATCGTGTTTCTAACCTCCCAGGCTAAACATCTTTTGTCCCTAGCAGAAGGTAAACAGCAAAAAAGTCCCCTGTTGAAACTTAAGGCCCAATTCTTCTCTTCCAGAAGTAAAACTCCTTAGCGTTCGTGGGTTCTGTTTGTTTTAAAGGTTTACGAACAGAAATGAGAACTGGAGATTCCATCTCATTAATGGTGCTCGGCCCTCAATCTTCACAGCCCAATTCACTAAATGTTTAGTGTCTCCAAATAAATAAATCCCAAATCTTGGATAACTTTCAAATTTTAAAATACTTTAAAGCCCTCCATTGAATTCATTTTAAAAGGGTTGGGGGGGTGGGGTGGGATGCTAGGTTTGTTTCAGTTACCTGCAGCAATCAAAAAACTTTGGCACCTTCTTTATAGAATTGCACAAAACAGGATGCATCAAGGTGGAAGGCAAAACGTCTTTTTGGCAACCTAGACAAAGAAGACAACAACAAAAAAACACCACCAAGTCCATCTGCAAAAAGTTTGCTAATTTTTAACGAGGTTAAAATAATTCTTTAGGGAGTTGTGTAAAATGCATAATATCCTCCCATGCCTTTTGATGTGTCTTTACTGTATTCTTCAGCATTAAGGTCCTCACACTTTATGGAGGGAGAATTTTCATTACTGGAGGTGCTAGGAGACAGCCGCCTTCGCTTACAAGCACTGGTATATACCCCTGAATCGTTGGAATCTAGAGACTTGATAGAAGGGGGCGTCTCTATCCATGATGAACTAATTTCTTCTTTGACTTTCTCCTTGGAGAGCTGATCTTCAGGGAATACAGGAGGGCTCGTTCTAGAGGTCCATGGTAGTCCAGCTGCCATCTTCCTTTGATAAGAACCTCGACCTCCCCATCCTGCCATAGCAGGAAAAGTGGGGTCAGGGTAATATCCAAGGGCATGGGATGTCTGGAGGGGCAAGGATTTAATACCATATGGGAGTAACGTGCTAGAAGTATATTCAGATTCATAGGAACCGATATCTAATTTATTGGTCCCGGGTTGCTGGACAGGCGTGACAAGCCACCGCTGGGGAGGGTTGGCCACCTCTTCGCTCTGTTGGGGTGAAAGGAGGCCGTTGGTCTGTGGAACGGTTCTCTCGCCATTATAATATCGGGCTTGAGGTAAAGTGTTGACGAAGGGCTCCGGGAAGAAGGACTGAACGCCATACCGACCTCCAGGGACAATCTGATGGGATCTAGGAGAATCCGTGGGAGATGGAGTTAACCTGTCATTTTCGGAAGCGGTGTACATGCTACAATATAAAGAGAAACACTTAAAAAAACACCCTAATGTTGATCCCAAACAAACCACCTCCCAGAAATGAAAAAGTCTGCTAGTTTGTACTGACAGTGGGCCTGCTGGAGTGGAGGAACAGAGACAGAATCATGGGCTCATTTTAGCTGGATTCTTGGCCCACCCAGAAAAACTCCCCATGACATCAAAAGTTCCCTCTAAGACATTTAATATTTAAACCATGGAAAATTCACCTTGGTAGGTCCTAGAACTTGAAGAACCCTAAGCAACCTTCCCTTGCCAATGGGATAGAAAGAAAGCTGGCTATACAGAAGATCCAGAGTAGAAAGACATTTGCAAGGCCTTGATATTTGATGTTTTGAAAATTACATCCTCTTAGTTTCAGGGTTTTGTTATGTTAAAAAAAGGGGAGGAGTATAGTAATACCTTTTCTGGTGAAGATAAAATAGTTGGATCACAAAAAAAGAGTATGTAAATGCAGATTCTTAAAATTCTGAATCTCCACAGAAATGTTTTTAAAAAAACACTCCTCATTTGTAAACCCTTAACATTAAAAAAATAATAATAATGAAACCTTTCTGTGAAAATTCCAAAACAAGGTAAGTAATGGCAAAAATATGCAAAAAATTAAGTTAAAATCCCAAATGTGAAAGCTCTTCTTAGAATATGTTCTCAAAGTGTCTGATCATACAAGTATGAGGAAAGGCTGCACTTACGAATCATAGTTGTCCCTGAAGCCTTTAGCAAAGGGGTTATGGTCAATCTTTAGTTGAGTAATCTAGATGGGTGAGAAAAAGAGTTGTGAGCACTTTGTTATGTTGGACCTAGCTTTAGAGATTCTTGGGACATTTGAGACACTCACATCAGTGTTCTGGTAGGCAGTAACTGCGATGAACTGTGTTTCTGAGAAGGTAAAGGTCTGGGTCTTCGAGGGCTCATTCAAGTCCTCCACACCATCCTCTGTAACTTCAACAATGTGCAGTCGTGGTTGGTACTTGTGTAAAGACTGTAAAACTATCATCTGAAAATGGTATAGAAACAAAAATGGTCATACCTAAAACATCTCAGATACTCAACAAAAGTAGGTTTTAACAAATTATGTATTTTGAAATGGGACCTCTGCTTTCCTTCCCCCTACTAACTTTATTTTTAATTGTCACTTTAAATATCAAGACATTTTTGAAACTTAAAACATAGCTAAGTATTCATGTCTGATAAACACCTTTCCTTTGGTCCCCTAAGTTCCTTAAAAAAATTTCAGTGTTTCTGTTCCTAATAGTAGAATCAGTGTTATTGAAAATTCAGTTAAAAAAAAAAAAAAAGAAAGAAAAATGAGAAACGTGCAAAGAAATAAATGTTAGAAAGAAATAGCTAAGTAAACAGGTGACAAGAGCAAGCATTACAAATACAGTGAAAAGAATATGTACTCTAGTTAGAGCTATAGCTTGAAGACCCTCCCCCCTCTCTGCCACTCTACCTGGGTGTTGTTGTTATTTGCGCCTTTGTTATTGGTGAGTTTTAATTTCCCAAAGGAAATCTCCTGTCTCATCCAGTGGGAACCAGTATTAGGAGACTCTGGGTGAACATACATTTTGTTACCTAAGAGAAAATGAAACAAAAAAAAAAAACAGAACCCAAGCATATAGGGCTGTTTACAAATGGAGGTGGGAAAAAGGGGTGTCAATTAACTATGGAAAGATGTTAAGTGCCATCTAGTCGGTTCCAACCCACAGCGACCCTGTACAGGGTTTCCGAGGCTGTAAATCTTTACAGAGGCAGAAAGCCTCATCTTTCTCCGTTGGAGCAGCTGGTTGTTTTGAACTGCTGACCTTACGGTACGCGGCCCGATTCATAACCACTATAAGATCAAAATTTACTAGCCAAAGTCCCTCAGTCTCACTGCATAAAACTGCCCAGTGGAAACCAAGTGGATACCTTTGATACTCTGCCTAGGGTCCCTGTTTCTAGCTTACCTTGGACAAGACATTCATCTTTTTACAGCAGCTCAACATTTAAAAATGCAACCAACAGGAGAAGCCTCCTGTTTAAAGCTGCACCCTGTAGTGCAGTGGACAAAGTGACCCAGGTGCTAACAGAATCGAATTGCATCCTGGGAGGAAGATTTGGCAGTCTGATGTAGCACTTAGCTCCCCTAAGGATTTACAGCCTTGGAAACACAGTCCTATAGAGTGGCTATGACATAGGAATTCATTAGACTGAAATTTGGTTTTGTTTTTAACGCTGAAAAAGACAACATCTGATGGAAGGTAATTACACTTTCATGAATAAACTCAAACTTGTTATTGTCATTGAATCAGTTCTGAATTATAGTGACCCTATTTAGGGTTTTCAAGGGGCAGTTGATGGGTTTGAACTGCCAACCTTGTAGATCACAGTGCAGTGCAGTGCTACAACACCACACCAGGTGCCCAAATAATCTATATGTTGTTGTTAAGTGCCCTTGAGTCGGTTGACTCATAACAACCCTGTGTAGAGTTTCCAAGGAGCGGCTGATGAGTTTGAACTGCTGACTTTGCGGTTCAAACAGACCTTGAGGTCGAGTGCTTATCCTATGATGCCACATCAGGACTCCAAAATTCTATATAGTGGTAGGTTAAAAGAAAGATAATTGCTACATCACTATTTTGTTTGTTTTTAAATCTACCACTATATAGAATTTGTCTTACCTTCCACTATAAAAGTTCTACATGGTGGTAGGTAAAAAACGTGACTTAGCAATTATCTTTCTTTCAAACAAACAACACAAAGAAACTCATACCCCTCTTGGTCCCAGATTGGGGACCAAACGTGCTACATTTAAATGTGAATTGTCTTGAGTCAAAGGTTCCGATTTCTTCCCCACCCGCTCCCCACCATTTCGAGGTTCCTCTCTCCTCACCCTGCATGTTATTGTCGGCTTTGCCGCAGGTCACCCATTTGCCCCCCTGGAAACGCCAGTGGTTGGGGTCTGCCAGCACCACCTCTACGAACACGTTGTAGTGGGCGGTAGGATTGAGTCCGTTTATATTGAAGCTCAAGAAAGGAAACATGCGCCTGTGCAAGGGAATAGAACCAGGATAAGCGATTTTTAACCAGGATCACCTGAGAGAGAGCTCAGACTCGGCTCGGTTCCCCGGGCACACTAGGCTAGGGACGGAGTACATTTAGAAGCCTGCAATGTACAGAATGCCAGTAAAGCGGGCCAAAACGATGTAAACTATTTCTGGATCACTAACTCTTGAAATACCTTCCTCTTCTCCTAATTAACCTGCCCCATAGTCATTATTTCCCAAATTCATGTGTTTTCAGAGCCTTCCCCACTCAAGTTTTCAGACCTTTCAGACACACATTAATTTTTATTCCGGAGCGTCAAAAATTACGTCTTCTTAAAAACACAAGTGCCAAAGAGCAAGATTTAAGTTCTCGTAAAATTTTTTTTTACCGATAAGCCTGAAAGTTCCCTTTGCGCGCCCTTCTCCTAGTACTTCCCTCACCCTAACTCCTTTTCCCAGACGTGTTAGCAATTGGACGAGTATCACGTTTTTCTCTTATCCAGAACTCATGCCAGGACTGACTCCAAGACAAGTGTAACCAACTACCCAGACCAACCTTCCGAGGCCAACTCTCTGGCCTTCACGCCCATTTCCCGCAGGCGCCCCGTGGAGACCCTGGCGCCTAAAACTGCAGGAGCCCCATCCATGGCGCTCAGGTGACCAGTCCTTGCGCCATCCCCCATCCTCAGCTACTGGTCGGCGAACCTGGCCCAGTTGCCTAGCAGGCAGATCTACTGAATCCAATTTAATGGGGATGCCCAAATTTCAATTTCCGCCTCATCCCCTTCAGTTGAGGCGAGGATGACGAGCAGTTGGTACAAGGGGCAGAGAGGGAGCAACTGTAACATTAATTAGCCTCCTGTACTAGCTTCCGTTCCCAGACTCGGAGAGAAATCTGATCGAAAATGAGGCGTCTACGCGGAGAAAAAATTATCCAAGCAAAGCGCGGAACTAGTGGGTGCACTCACTCCCTGCCACTCCCAAGACCACATGTTCACCCTTTCATCCCGCATCCCCGGGACCCTCCACGCTGCGCTCACCTGCCCTGTTTTGTAATGATCATCTCTGTTTGGTGGCGGTGAAATTTGAGCCACAGAGGCCGATTGCAGAGGTAGACGTGAGCGCGGAAACCAGAACCGGGAACTCCCAAACCTCCCAGCCCTCCGCAAGAACCCGCCGCTGCCGCCCCGGAGTATGGCCCGTAAAGCGGTGCCCCCTGGCTGTATTGATAGGCGCCCGGGCCACCGCCTGCACCGCTGCTGCTACTCGCGCCACTGCCGGCACCAGCTGCCGGGCCGAATTGTGCCCTCCCGGGTGGGCAAACAGTCGCAGGGAAGCCGCCGGGGGGCAGCATGGAGCCGTAGGGGTAGCGCGCCCCGTTGGGAGTTGGGTACACCGATCCGTGGGGCGCCCCAGCAGCCGTCTGGTAAGGGAAGAGTGAGCAGGGCGCGGCCAGCTCTGAGCCCTGAGGGCCGGGGGACTGCAAGTAGTAGCGCTCCGAGCTCAGGGTGTCCATGGAGTAGCGTGCTGTGGCGGCGGCAGCGGCGGCAGCGGCGGCAGCGGCAGCAGCTGCAGCGGCCGAGGGCAGCTCCTCCTCCCCACAGGGGGAGCTCTTGCGGCCGTCCGGGGGCCCTGGTTTGGCCACTGCCGCGGCGCTGGCGAAGGAGTCTCCGGCGTCCGCGTCACTGAGCATGGCCGTGGGGGCCCCCGCGCTGGTGACTGTGGGCTCCCCGCTCCCTGCCTCGCACGAGAGGCTCCCCGAGAACTTCTTGGACGCTTTGTCTAAGTCCAGCCTCTGAGGAGAGGGGGCCGCGCCGGGGAGGTGACCTGCGCTCCCACCGCTGCCCCCTCGCGCACTCTCCAGTGGGTAGAAGTGCGCGCCGGGTAGGTTCACCGAGCTCACCAAGAGCTGCTCCCCTAACTGCATGCTTTACAAAGGGTAGAGGGCTGCTGGCTGCTTCCTCTCTTTCTGCGGTCTTATTATAAAGGCAGAATGGGGGAGCCAGCGCCCTCTTCCGAGGGGAAGGTAACTTCCCCTTCCTTCTGCGCCCCCGCAACCCACCTGCCGAAGCGCGCGCTTCACCAGCGCGCACTGGCGCGCCCTGACCTCCTTGCCCTTCCTGTAAGGAAAGCGAACTAAATTTTAACGTAGAAGAAAGAAACTAATCAAGAACTCTTTTTCCTTCTCTAGTCCCTGTTACTAGCTATACTCACGCACCTCCTCCCACACTCCCACCTCGGAAGAAAAGGACTGCGATCTCTAGTCCCATCTACTACCAAGCTTGTGCCTTTCTACCCTTTTTCTAATGCCAAGACATTGACCAAGCTGACCACTTGAAAACTCGCGGGCTGTCACGCTCTGCATTATATACGTGCGGTTCGGGAGGGGCTTCGCGGACCCGCAACCCCAGAACTCTCGGATTGGCTGATAGGGATGACATTAATTCAATTAGGCATATACTAATTGGATCAAGTCGCCTGCTATTCTATTTTCTTTAGCCTGAATTAAAACACACACACATACACACACACCAAAACTGCCTCGCTGTGACAATCAATCCTGGTGTCTTGTGTTTCACCGGAGTTTAGGGGAACACGATTTAAGGTTCCTTCACAAGAAATCATCCCAGCGCTCTGCGCAGAGCATAAGAGAACCGACGGGAGTAAGTTTTAGAGGCCCGAGGGAGAAAGGCTCTGCAAGCCGACGATTTGTAGGAAAGCACAGGGCCTGGAGCGTGGGGTACTGGCACAAGTTGAAGACAGGCCTAATCGAAGTCTCTTTACACTTAGGAGCTGTAACTCCAAGCATATCTTTCTCCTGATGGGGAAAGACTCTTTGACAGCTGGAACCTTTTTTGTTTCGGTCCCATTCTTTTACCAAGTGGAGAGTGTTTTCGGAGTGGAACTTCCCGCTCAGCTTTTGGGATTTCGGGGATGGCCAGAGAACGCGGCCATCTGTGAGGACCGAAGCCCTCATCTTTTGGATCAAGAGTCCGGGTTGGATGAGACACTGAGAACCATCCAAGGAGAAACTACTAACAATTTACTCCAGAGCTAACTACTTACCCACATGCTATATTAATATCCCTACCTTCCGGAGGCAATTACTCTCCACCAGTAGAAGTCTACGCTACTCAATTTTCTTAAATCTTCTCTACTTAGTCCCCGTATCTACTATTGGTTTGGGCACCGAGAAACAAAGGTTCATTGGCAACCGCGCAGTTAAGGTTGCCTGAGCCTTTCCTCCATGGTGCAACACAGAAGGTAGAATTAGTAAATAATCAGTTTGATACTGAATTAAGCCTACGTTTCTGCCAACAGTAGAGTCAAGAACAATGTTATCTTATTTTATTGTTTTATTACTAAAGAGGGGCCAGAAGGAAGTTTCATTGCGGAGAAGCAGAAACCTGAATATTCGCTTTTATTAAGCAATTACGGACAAGGCTTACAATCGCTCCGGGAGTGCATTTTCCGGCTGAGATGTCTAGACTCTGCTTCCCCAACCCGAAGCGCTCACACGGGAAACTCTTCGCCCACAACAGATTAGGCGGCCACAGGAGTCCCTGAATGCGCATACGCACAGTAGAACAGCGTGAAGCTTTAAAATTGAGGTTCATACCACAGTAGTACCAACATCAGCACGTCTGGTTAGAGAGCGAAGGGGTCCTTAAAGCTCTAGGACGTCCTGAGCGTTTATCAGTTTTCCACAGTGATAAAACAACAACAAAAAAAAACCCAAGCGTGCGCGGAGGTTTTCAGGGTCAAGGAGCAGTCAGAAGGAGTGAGTAAGTTAGGGCGAGTGAGTCTGAGCAGGGCCCTCGTGGGTGCTGGGCAGAAATTCCCTAGAGGTTGGCTCCAAGCGCGCACAGTCCTGAGCTTCCTGCATTTGGTCTCATCAGTTTACTAAGGGTTTGTCGTGACGCTCTCTGCTCGGATCACCCAATAGCCTATCTCCCTTCTTTGGTTTTATTTTGACCCAGAGAATTCTGGAGGAATTACATTATATAGTATAGTTTTAAAAGACCGTTAGCGTCTTTGTGGGTTTCAGTGTGGATATTTGCAAAAGTGACAATAACGCAGGGAAAGGAAAGCGCCGCGATGTAGCTAAAGGTTTAGGACTCCTGGGTTCCTCCACGTTAGCGTTGACCATAGTTACAGGATGTTTGAGGAGATACCAGGGTCAGACTGAATTTCGCTTTATGTGCCTATAGTTGAAAGTGAATTGGTCTGGGGTGGATGTCAGTTTTGTACTGTAACACAGCGAGAAGAGCATCTCAGTGTCCCTTCAAAACGCTTTCGAGGCAGCGGGGAAAGCGCTGTGCGTGGCAAAGTGCCATCGCAGTCAACAGGCATCGTTCCGACCCATTCTGGCGCAAATAACGCGGGCCAGCTGTCCCCCGAGCCACATCAGAAAAGGTTTTTATTCCAGTCCACAGCAGGCTCTTGAAAGTGACGTGAATTCATTCCTAGAGCCATCTAATCATTACTATATATACATAGTTTGTATAATTAGGGTTTGTGTTGATTCGAGGGGCAGAAAATTGTGGTTTCGTATCTCTGCGCATCTCTAACAAATCTATTATTTTATTCAATTTAACACATTTACAGATGGCAAACCAAGACAAATTCAAAGAGAGTCAAAAGGCAGATTCTACAAACTGCTTTGGGATCTAGGAGCTTTGGAAATTAGGGACAAAATTGCTACATATTATACTATATTACATATATATTACGAACTTTTCTTTCAAGTAATAAAGTATTTCTTTAAAATAAAAGCAGTGTTCCAACTACAAATGATTTTCTTTTTATGACTTCCTCTATGTTAATTAACCAATTAAATTATTATTATTGCATATAGAAAATACTGTTGTGTTGTTATTAAGTGCCGTCTTACTAGTTAGTCTAAAATGCCTGGAGAGGTATAGATAAGCAAATACATTATTTCCTACTCAGAATGGACATTTTTTTTTCCTGCTGACTCAGTTTTCTTTACCAGGGAAAGAAACATTAAAATAATTTTTTTTTTTTCACATGTCCCAGAGCAGTCCTTTCCAGAAATAGGAACAGAAAAGAAAGCTAAAACAAAGATTTGAGTGAACATGTCAGGCAGCAACCTCCTTGGATTGGGTGGGCAAATAACAGAGCTTTCCTCCGTTTGCTGTTTGATTTCAATTACACCCCAAGCTTCATGAAATCCAAATGAGACATTTATTGAAAGGTGCCTGGTTTTATGTGACTCAACTGACAGTGTATTGGAATACATTGAACAAAAACATCAACAGTGGGGAGGAAATGTGGAGACCCCCTTGGAACCCCAGACCCAAAAAGAAGCTGGATTAACTCAAATCTTGCACCTTTTGGACTTAAATGGTGCAAGTAAATCTCTTTTTGAAAGCTAAAAGGAATAAAAGCCAAAACTAGGTGCTGGCATATTCAAACTCTCTTGGTCTCTTGTCAGAAGCAATAATACCAGCTTCACGCCACTGTTTCATCCTGATAACACAAAAATATTGCCCACCAGGTCGAGTGACCACATTACTCCTCTTCCCCCATTAACAGTAACCACTATCCATTCATTAAACTTATGAATATAAAATTGAGGAGCATCTGGTTACAACAGGACTATTACATATCAAATACATAAACACATACTTATGAATAAATTATAGGAGTGAGTTATAGATAAGTTCAATGATATATGGCTTTCCTTAACCCTGCCCCCTCCCCAACCAAGGAGGCCCATATAAATGTACCAATAAAATCTATTATTTTCACCCCCACTAAAACACGTGTTATCAAAACACTGTCCGTGTTATTCAAACACTTTGTAAATTCTGAACAGACTTGCTGCCGGTTCTCCTTTTAACCCTAGGAAAACATTCCAACATTAACCGGTCACCAGTGCTTTGCCTGGACTCTATGAAAACGTCAATGGTTTTTTTGTGGTGAGTTGGTCCTTTTACTATTTATCTATGGTCCTTTCTTTGTTGATGTTACATTTTATTTCACCATCTCAGGTTTGCTCTTTGGCCTTTAGTTCTCTGATGGCCAGATCTGCCACCTCTACTTTATTTCTGAAGGGGGAAGGTACTTTCTTCAGGGAAATGTTCATTTTTTCATTTCTTTCAAAGTGAGTGCCCCATAAGATAAAACATTTGGGCAAGGACCAGTAGTGTTGATGCAGTTGCTAACAACAATAAGTACTCCCACAATTATAGTTTCATTGATATAAGAATTTATTTTTCACAGTGACACTGAAACAAATCCATCGCTTGCTTAAAAACAAAAACAAAAAACCCCCACCAGATCCACATATGTGTGAGGTGAAGAGTAGTATTAAACCCACTTTATTTTAAAACCAAAGTGACCATTCTAAACTACTATTCTAGTTGTTAGTCCATCTATCTAAATTGCTAAGTGCAATTGTTTTTCATTGTTAAAATATGAAGAGGTAGATACTGGAATGGAAGTTAATAAATACATTAAAAACTGTTTATTACAAAAAAAACTTCCACATGATCTTTTCTTAAACATTGACACAAGAATCTTTGGCTGTAGCCCATAATCTTGTGATTGCCTTAAAGAGAAAAAAAAGGCAAGTGCTTTTAAATCAGCGATTAATTTAGCTGCTGTTTTATCATTATCATGACATCATATTTATGGGAATACACATAAATATAAATAATAAGAAAATTCTATAAATAATAAGAAAATTCACAGAAGGTAAAATAAATAAAATAAAATACATCTCCCAAAAAGTACATTATGGGAACATTTGGTTAATTAATGCTACTTTAAAATGTGAGAGAATTATACACAGTCCCATCTGTCTTGTTTACTGTTGCACCTTGAAAATCCTGGCATTTAATAGGTGCTCATCTATTAAGTGAAAGAAAGTGGCTACTAAATTGGTGTCCTGGAACAGCTAAAATATTCCAAGGAGGGCGTCAGATTTATTCTTTAAAACTACAAAGACTTCAATGAAAATGCTCTTTTTTTTCCCCTAAGAGAAAAAGAAGAAAACACAGATCCTTCTAAAATTGTGGAACTGGTTGCTATTCTTGTCTTGTAAGGATTTTTACGATGCCTATGTCTTTTTTTTTTTACTTTTTGTAATCCAAAATATGTAAGATCTTACATATTACATGATTTTGTATGTAGGTGTATGTCCATGTTCACATTCTTTCACAGGGAAAATAGACAAAAGGAAAGTTAGTGCCAGAATTGTAGTATAACTGTTAATGGAAAACCACTATGTGGCCAAAAGCAGTATTACCCTGAACATAAATCAGCTGTACATCACTAACAAAGTTGGCAGAGTCAGTGAAATTAAATGTTTCAAC